AKTTWWAATTRKMTMTRMYTTAATTTTTTAATCTTTTTACTTTCATATRTTTTGAGCTCAAATAGTTTTTTGWAATTTTTGCAAAATGAGTCATCTTATTTTTTATTTTMAATTGACATTTYAAAACACTTTTAGTGAGTTACTACTTAAAATTAAATTTTAACCTCGAGTTTTTGTYAAATTTGTGAGGATTTTTAGCGAAATAGGTACCAACCTTTTAAATCAAAGGCTGTTAGCAGCAAATACAACGCTTGCACCAGATGCACAACGTTATCAAAATTCTTTACGATGAAGGCCGCAGTTGAAAAAAAGTAAGTCGAGATAAGCAAATATGTTAAAAAGCGCAGTATGTAATTTCTCAGCCATTTGTCTGGCGTGAAGGGATAAATGCCCCAACATTTTAGAACAAATCTGTCTGTTGCGTACGCGTAGAGAAATTCAAATGGCTAAAACCAACCAATCAAATCGAAGAAAAAAACGCATTAATCAACCCTTACCTTATCAGGCGCCATTCTGAGGAACATTGATGTTCATACATTAAGTAGATTGAACTTTTATAGGAGCAAAACCACCTAATCGCTTAATAATTGATAAATGTGAAGAACAACCCAACGATGCTAGCTTTCCGTGAATATACCCTTAGAAGCCATCATTTCGCACTCACTTAACCGCTGGATTATGATTAAGCAATTATAAGGATTTATCGCCATGTAATTATGTCATTAGAGCTAAATTACTAATAAACTAATGCGTGGAAAGGCATTTTCTAAAAAAAAAACTCGCTTGGAACACGTTGCGATTTCTAGTTTATTCGCTAAAAATAACCGTCTAAATTAAAAAAATTAGACAATATCGAAAGTAACAAATTTAAAAAATCAACAAAAAAGGACTAGACGCACTTAAACCAATTTGAAACACTTACAAGTTACATTTGAACATACGAGTAAATAGTCAGTTATATTAATAGTACACTAGTTTACAAAGTCATTGTTTAAGGTGCTTTATTTAGCGCTTATTTAAATGTTTTATCAGCTAACCTTATATTAAGTAAGTGCCCTAAAGTATCACGAGCCTTATCTTTCTATAAAACTGTTAAAACTTAAACATAGTTAATTTTTTGTAATGCTTCATTCTCCACCGGCCTCCTCTGAAAAGGACATTTGAAACCTCGGACTTCTCGATGTGACCCGAAACTCCGGCGGCATATCATAACAAATGCAGACGCAACAGGACGGGAACTTGAACCAATCGGAAAAAATTCCTCGGCATTCATTGCTCGGATCATACGCCAATAAACTGAAAATTCCTTCAGTTAAGAACCAATAAATGGGAAAAACTTAAAGGCTTATTACCGATGCAGCCTGTATTGCTGTTCGCATCTACAGCCCTCTCTGCAGTACATTTGCCTGTGCTCGAAAGTGCACTTTTCCCAATGCACGTATTGCTCGAACGGATACATGTTCAAAAGGGCCAGAACTTCTCCTCGAGTATTGTTGGCCCAAAATGGTGCTACCACTTCTTCTTTAACAGGACATGCATTGCTGCGCAAATAAAAAAAAAAGGTTTTGTATAACCGTAAGGGTGGAACGTTTGGTAAATGAATGTGCTTTCCAGAAACAAATTTGCTCGTTGAAGGGAACATGGTTATGGTTTATGTTAAAAACAGTCTAGAAAACCCATAAATTGTCGATGGTGTCGATGGGTGTGCTTTTATCTTTGTATTTTTAATCTTTGTAAGTATTTAGAAGCTGATTTTTATGGGCTGTTGCGAGTTTAAATTGCTTAACATTTTTTTAGAGAGTTTAGAATGTGACTGTTGTGGGTGTTTTTGCGTTTAGGCCGTAATTTTAACAAGTTTTAAAGCCGTTTAAAACCCGAATTTAGTCGCGCAGTTGGACTGGGAACGCAAGGCAATCCAATTAAATTCCATACCGCGTTTGATCATTTTCTTTTACATTGTTGTGGCTTTCAGTAAAATGTGAAATAAAAAATTAAGATCGTTTATTTCAAACTCATAATTGGGAAACATTAGATTCATTCAGGTCTTTGCTGTCTTGAAACCTCAAATTTGTTTTTTGAGAAACAAATTTTTATATCGTTTATTTAATAACGTTTCGGCGAGACAACAGCGCCATCATCAGATTTGAAATTCATACAAACTCATAATTGGGAAACATTAGATTCTTTTAGGTCTTTGCTGTCTTGAAACCGAATCTTGAGGTTTCAAGACAGCAAAGACCTAAAAGAATCTAATGTTTCCCAATTATGAGTTTGTATGAATTTCAAATCTGATGATGGCGCTGTTGTCTCGCCGAAGCGTTATAAAATCAACGATATAAACAAAAATTATTTCACACTTTGACTGAAATCCAGGAAGGAAAAGGATATAATAACAATTACACGCAGTCAGGAAAATAAATAAAAATAAAGGTTTCACTTAATATCACTTTCTCTGCCGATAGACGCTCGATTAAACCCCTTCTAATGTCTTGAGCTCTCCAAATAACCGCTCTAATCAGTGCCATTTTCCCTGCAAATCCAGATTTCTTCTCAATATAACAACCAACTGCGTTCCCTTTTTGTAGACTTTCACGCATTTGCACTTACTTTCACTCACTAAATAGTGCATGCAGCGTGTAGAAAGTTATTGACCAAAGCTTGCCTGTTTGTCGCCAAACATTTCAGCAAATCACCTCGCTTAATGAAACTTACATTCCCTTCATGTTGTGGTAATCGACCGGGCCTTTCTTCGGAGGATCTTCCACCATGTCTTGAAACAACATCGCCTGGTTTCGGTCTGGATGCTTCAATTCGTCGCTACTTTCACTGTACACTTCACTGTTTTCACTGAATTCGGCAGTTTGATCCCAATGCCCATCTTCACCAGCTCCCGAAGGGTTTCCAACTTTTACACTCACTGGCATTGTTTCTGTTTCTGCGATTGGTGAGGGCGGTTTTGAAGTGGTGATTTTGCTAAACCCGTCACTTTTGGTTAGATAAGTGGTTGCAGGAAAGGAAAACTTCTTGGATACCCACTCAGTGGTAGTATCAGTCGTCGATTGCTCCATTGAGTCTTCTGCAAACACCGAATAATTTAAACCTGGTATTAATGCGACAGATGAGCCAGTAAATACCTGTTGTAGCAGCAGAGCTGGTAAGCAGAGTGGATTCTTCAGTAAAAGGATCGGTTGTCGGCTTCGAAGCTTTCATGGTGATCGGCTCTTTGCTGCTGGTCTCATTGGCATCAGAAGCGTTCTTTTTCAAAGCGCCATTGAACGGTTTCAGCTTGGTCACGTTGGCAGAAGTGGCAGGATGAAGCTTTTCTGTTGATGCTGGCGGCTTGGTGAGCTTTGTACTGGCTCCTGCTGGCCGGTGAGTCGTATGTTGCGTTCTATAGTTCACTGGCCTGGATGGAAGCTATTATTAGGAGAAACTTCTTTTTCTATGTGTTCATACCGAAAATGAGCAGCTTTCAACTCGGCTAGTTTGATGGCAATGGCAGCTTCTTGCTCGGACACCACAAACTTTGTATTCAGCACATCGTCGTTCGCCGTATCTCCTCTAAGGTATCGAGGCTCGTCGTCAAAATCCATACTCAATTCCTCCTCAAGATCATTGTCGAGGTCTCCATTGTATCGTCCAACCCTGAGCAACTTTGCCCATTAATTTTCTTTCACAGGGTATTTTTCACTACTCACCTAACCGGCGTGGGTTTCCAATGCCCGTAGCCGCCCTTTTCCTTCTCTCGCTTTTCCCACTGCTCCTCAAAATCATCCCCATCGGTTAGTTCCGCCCTTAGCACATGCCCATGCCGTTGATCCCCGTACATTCGGCGCATCAACCCTTGATTGTCTTTAACAAATCGCTTTACCGCCCTCCAGGGATACAATTGACCGGCACTTGTGCAGTAGCCCAAGCGGCCCACATCGCAGGGCGGCTGGTAGACGCGCCCAGTCCGATAAGGGCGACCGCAGGTCGCCCTATCTCCGCCTCCTGCGTCGTAACCTATACCGGATATAGTATAGGCATAGAGCTGGAAAGTAAGAAAAAAATTACTATCCTGCGAAGCGATTCAAACTTGAATAAGATCATGGTGGAATAATAATATAGTAATTTGGTGGTTGTTGTTTATAGTTCTTTCGATAGGTTTGAAAATTTTTGAAAAATTGATAGAAATCGGATATTTATGGTCGATTAGTTTCGTGAAAGCAACAGTGCGAAGCCTGCATACAAAGCACAAATAACCCACTAACACACTTAGATCTTCGACGATCGCATGGATGCTTCAAAGACGGAGGAACAGGTGGTTCCAATCGCACATAGTAATATTAATGCAAGTTTTACTTTTTAGCACATTCATAAGCGCAACATTTCGTTCTTTCAGCGCCCATTTTTTGCGTTTCCCGATCGGCTCAGAAAACTGTTTTAAAATCTGCTTGAATATAATAATCTAATAAATAAATCATAAGAACGTTAATAATGCTGCAACAGTAAAGCGGGATTTACAACAATAAAATCACTAAAGCTCGGGCAAGTAACTTGGCCATCAGACACAATTACATCGAAGAAAAACGGTACCATCGACCAACTCTTTCCCACATTGCAACTACACGAAAGAGTATTGCAGAGTGAAATATTTGAACGCCTGCAATCATTTTGCCAGGGTATTGACAAATTGGAAACTTGTAAAGTGGCTTCTCCGGGTGATATATTGAAGCAATTTGCGTGTTTTTCTGCGGTTTTCTCKTGAAAATGTTCATTCCGATATACGATGTTTAATAATTCTGGCAGGAGGCAATACATTTTCTTTTTACAGCAGATATTTCTTCAGTTYTGTGTCGAAATTCTGCCGAAGCTGTCGGGSAGAGCAGAGATAAGAAACAATACGCAAAACAGAAGTTTGTGCGTTTTTTCTAATGTTTCAATTTYTTTAATAATTTGAATCAGAATTTTTTKGTTTTGGTGGTCGCAACCGATACTTTTCTCAGTTAATGTTGCAAGACTGAATTTTATAAAGGCAGTTCGATGTTAAAAAAAAGCCGAAACGTTGGCGCAAAATAAACAAGTTTTTTGCAAACCGTTGACCGAAAAACCCCACTATTCTTGTAAGATGTAGATATAAAAGTGATATGATGACGGTTCAGAATTCCATTTGTTCTAAGTATAGGTTCTAAGTTAGGGCATTTGGTTGTAAAACTTCAAAAAGTTGAAAAAAAAAGCCCTCAAATTTTTATATTTTAAGATGCTTAAAAACCAGGAACAACCTCCACCAAGTATGCGGTTTACTGACTAAATCTGCAAAAAACCTCGACGAAAATTACTTAATGAAACCACAAACTAAAGTTAAACTCTGTTGCAATGAAAACACTTTTAGCTCTCTGGACTACGTATTCACATTTCCCTAATCTACATTTGCTTGCTTGCATTAATGGCACTTAATCGGTTTGTCAGTAAAATTCAATTAATTATTAACCAATCTGTCCAATACTTGTAACAGCGGAACATGGATCGCAGCCCAAATTATGAATAAAATAAATATTCTTTTTCTTCCTGGGTTTCAGTCAAAGGGCGAAATAAAAAAAAATATATCGTTTATTGCATAACGTTTCGGCGAGGCAACAGCGCCATCAACAGATTCAAAATTCATACAAACTCATAAAAATTTGTTTCTCAAAAACAAATTGGAGATTTCAAGACAGCAAAGACCTAAAAGAATCTAATGTTTCCCAATTATGAGTTTGTATGAATTTTGAATCTGATGATGGCGCTATTGTCTCGTCGAAACGTTATGAAATAAACGATATAAAAAAATATTTCACACTTTGATTGAAACCCAGGATGGAAGAGAATATAATCACAATTACACGCAGTCAGGAAAATGAATCAAAATTAATAAAAGTATGCATTTTTATGTGTATGCAAAAGGCAAAAATCAGCCAAAACTGTACAATAATCAGCTCTACTTTTAGTGTTTTATACTCAAGTGAGATCATAAAGATTCATGAAGAAGTTTAGAATATTACTGAAGCCTCACAGCAATCGTTTCCAAGGAAAAATGCCTCAATTTCACTTTACTCGCAACGACAAGAATGATCGATTAAGCGGACCAAATGAAAAGCCAAATAAATCGCTTAATGGCCGAGCCCTGACCGAAAGAAATCGAACTTTCCAACTACGAAATCCTCCAGTTGAAGCGACTTTTCTCTTTCCTGGTTCATCACTTTCATTTGCGTACTGGAACTTAATCATTTATTCCGCCCCGTGCATTTTGAACCGGCTTGTTTAGTCGAGCACTAGAAGTAGTTAATAAAACCGTGACTAAATTCATTTCGGTTGCCCCTAATCCATAAATTAGAATTATTTATTTGAAATCATTACGGAAAGAACTGAAGAGGAAAAGGCGTGTTACATGGGTGGTCAACGAGACCAACTTCATGCGTTGCAACTGATAAGAAAAATAACGGTAGATTCAGTTTCAGCCAAATGTCCACGGTTGGACTTCAACTGATTTTTTATTTATAATGTACTTGTAAAAAAACGATTCGCAATAATGTACTGATGTCTAAAAAATATCAAATTTAATATTCTTTTCCCAATATTTACGCAACCCCAAAACCCACTTCCTCAAAGTGGTAATCTAGGAGTCAATTACCGAGTACTCAGTAAACAATTTGTAAGTTATTGTGCAATACTTACTTACGGGTGTTTTTATGACCGCCGGTATTTATTCACGTAGATGACCAACAATGGGAAATGAATGGGACGCTAAAATCTCCCATAAATGGAGGCCAATTAAACAAACATAACAGAATTTCAGAAAAAATAAATTTATTAAAATTGAAAGCAGTTTGCGATTCCGCTGAAATCGGGCGTGACGAAGCGACTTATATTAACGGTACATTATCAGAAATATATACCATTCATTACAACTGGCTAAACCGATTTTCAGTTGGTGTAAAAAACGCGCAATTATACCCAATACAATTTTTAAGCCGAAAAGCGAAACTCAAAGAACAAAACCCAACAATCTAACAAAAAACTGGAAGGACATTTTTATCAAAATGAAAATGTTGCAAGCGGTTTAGTGGGGTCTACAGGAAAAACTTCTCCAGTTTTTCTGAAGCTCCCGGAAATTTTATTTCGTGCTTCACGGTTGCAATGCATGCAAAACCCCTTTTCAACCAAAATTTCCCCCAGCTTCGAAAATAACTCAGAAGTTTCATCTGTGCCCCACAACAGACCGCCTCCCAGTCTCTTCCACTTTTCAAAGGTTGCAAAAACCAGCTTAGGATACTTACAAGTAAAATGAAGCAGCCTATCATTTTGCATATCTTACATCCAAAATCGGAATATTTCGCGCTCGCACTCAATCAATTAATAGAAAATCTACTTGTTGAGTAGTAAACACCGCGATTTTTCGGGGTTCGATTTCTCTTCGATGCACTTGAACATGATGCGACACGCTGCGGAAGAACAACCGAAGAAACAGCTGCTGGTTCGACCTACTGAAGACCAGTCTGTGGTCAGTCAGTCAGCAGGACCGGCGCAGACTGGTAAGGTGAAAGAAGAAATGGCGCTGTCCGAGAAGAAAGTGGGTCACGTTGAAGGAGCAGTTCTTTGCGAGACTGTTTGTTGTCAATGGGCGAATTAGCAGAGGCGGAGAGAGTTGATAGACCAATTTTGCAACTAATGTGTTAATTAGCAGTTGGACAAGTAAAATATTTATAACCTGGCGTTATGTTGTAAAAAAGTCGACCCAAGGACTCCTTGCGAACAAGTCAAGGATTCAATAAAAACACCCAATAATCAAAACACATTTATTAATCCGCATTACAATTAGCCTTGGAAAGGCAAAGTTAATCTATCAGCAGCATGATGCCAGTCGTGCTTTTCATAGAACTCTTGTAGCCCGGTATAGTACAATGGTATGCCTGCAACCACAAAAAAAATTAAAAACCACTAATCAATATGGAAATTTCAAACCACTGCCGTTCCCTCCATTCAAATTACCTTTTAACACTTGAGAGCTGGCGGCATTTATGTGAACAGCTACATAGTCTCCAGGCTTCAAAAGCTTCATATACTGTCCATTTTTCGCAGGTATTGGATCAGTTCCCGGCAGGATCACCTTAACGTTATTATTGTTCCTGCCTTGGAAGCATTGGTCAGATCGTTTGCTCAATCCCTCCACCAAAACCAAATGGGTGTGACCTGAAAAGTTACCATCTAGAACCGGAGCTTGCAGCTTTTACTATCACACCTACCAATCTCTGAGCAATTCAATACATATGAGTGCCTCCGATAGACCTCGATCATCCTTTGCAGCCGTTGCATTTTCACTTCCTGGGGAACATCGTCTTTGAATCGACGATGGGCTGTGGTTTTTTCGCGCATACTATAAGGGAACACAAAGGCCGAATGATACTTGACTTCTTCCATCAGTGTGATAGTATCTTCGAACTCTTCAAAAAAAATTATAAAATGTTCAGTCAGCTCTCGTTAAGCTGCTGCGATGTTACCTTCGTCCGTCTCCGAACAAAAGCCGCAAATGAAATCGGAAGTCAGAGCAACATCAGGAATTCGGTTTCTAATATGAGCCACTAATTCCAAATATGCCTCTCTTGTGTAGCCGCGTCTCATTCTTTCCAAAACTGCTGAATTTCCAGACTGGGCCGGCATGTGCAGATTTTTGCAAATATTGGCCTGGTTTCGGATCACCTGCGACAAAAAAATTGTAAAAAATCAAGCTTATTTTAACTTGGTTGTGGTTTTTACTCACCTCGATTACTTCATCGGGGAAATCTTTGGGATGCGGAGAAGTAAATCGCACTCTCATTTCAGGATTTAGCTCTGAAACTCTGTGTAATAAGTCCGCAAATCGCAGACCACCCTTCTTCAGTTTGTACACTGTTTTAAAGCCCTTGGCCAAGCTGGTCACATTCTCCGTCGAGTCGATTTCAGATGTATCCCGGTAGCTATTAACGTTCTGGCCTAAAAGAATCTGTTTTCTACTTGGAGAGCCCTTAAACTCACCGCTCACCTAATAATGTAATTTCCTTGACTCCGTTTTGCGATAGATGTTCAACTTCTTTTAAAATCGAACTGACTGGGCGCGAGCGTTCCCTGCCTCTAGTGAACGGAACTATACAGTACGTGCACATATTATCGCACCCTCTCATGATAGACACAAAGGCAGACACTGAATTCTCGTTTAATCGTATGGGTGTGATATCTGCATAGGTTTCATCAAACGAAAGCTGCACGTTTATTGACTTTTGATCATTGGCAGTCAAAGCTAAGAGCCTACAAATTGGGATAATGTAGAAAAGGGAAACTCGTTCATTTAGAATCAGTACCTTGGCAAGTCTCTATAGGCATCTGGACCAACAACTAAATCCACTGATTTGTCGGTTTCCAACACTTTTTGCTTGAGCCTTTCGGCCATACATCCCAGTATTCCGATTTTCAAATTAGGTCGTGTTTTCGATCTTGTCCTTCTAATGCCTTTGAGACTTTCTAAACGGCCCCAAATCCGCTCCTCTGCACTTTCTCTGATGGCACAAGTAACTGGAATATATTTCATAGGGAATTTGTTAGTGTGCTAGTGAGAATAAAGAGAACGGGTTTTTGAGGAGACAATTTGTGGAAACAGCAAACAAAGTTAACACTGACTGAAAAGCAAGAATACGATACAGGGTTTGGTGCTCACCGATTAAAATAACGTCCGCTTCTTGTATATCATCCGTTTTCTTGTAATGACTGTTTTTAAGAATTGACCATATTACCTCTGTATCACTCACATTCATTTGGCATCCATATACTTCGAAAAATACCTTTCTGTTTTCGCCATAAGTCATCGATTGGATCAAGTAGGGCACCACCTGAAGCAAAGAGAGTAACTTACAGTTAAAAGCAATCAAAAGCTACGAAAGGTTTGTTAATAAATTGGAGTCTTATGTAAGGATTAATTCGGGATAAAAGTGGTATTATTAGTTAGTAGTTGCATGATGAAAACGTGCCCATTTTTAAGGCAAAATCACATTAAACCAACCTCTTCATCTGGTAAATGGTCCTGTTGCTTCAAATGTTCGTCTTTGAAAAAATCCTTCAAATTAGGCCCGTTTAGCAACTTATTCCTGAACTCAGCAGTTGTAGCAGGCGCTCCTTGACCACCGTCCTGTGCTGGTGCTTGATTGCAGCTGATATTTGTACACGAGATGTATCGCAGTCCAAAGACAGACTTTGAAAAATGTGTTGATTTCAATGCACTTTTCACGACTGTGTGAAATATCGGTGATTTTACGCTAAGGTTCATTATGGAGGCTTTCCGGTAAAGTTAACATAACAGATAGTGTATAAAGCTACAATTAGTCATTAATATTTGCTATTTAAAACTTTGTCAACAATACATTGAGGTTAACAGTTTAGATATTTTCATCGAGAGTAGACGTCTACAGTATGCAACCAGCATAACATTTTTTTGTAATCTGGGTGATTTCAGTCTTTTGTTGATAAAACTAAAGGATTTGGAAATAAACAGTACTTCTAACGCATATCAAATTAAAGACAGTTCGAAAGATTAATCATATACTTGCCTAAATGGTAATAAATTGTGACCTGAACCGACTACAAAGCCCCCGGTCGAGTGGTGGCTCTTAGCTTTTCGATAATACTTAAAATGTCCCATCTTTTACTCTGAACTTGTTCGGGGGTCACTTTAGGACAGCCCCTCAGTTTGCCGTAATGTCCCGCATAACTAGCCAATTGTTCGGTGTTGCAAAGCACGTGAATTCCGCAATCGTAGCCATTGTTTTGCTGCAATGTGGGCGCCTCTTCAAATCGACCGGCGATGGGCAGCTGAAAGAACTTCAGCACTTTTTCCGCAAGATCCATGGCTTGATTCTCGTTGCTTCCATGCGATGAGTCGTAATGAAACATCATTTTTTCGGGGCTGAAATGTACAATTTCTTAGTAACGCAGAGTTTTGCTCCTTAAATATCAAAGCCGCTTCAAAAGTCCAGAATTGGCATTGGATCGGTTCTTACCAGGAATAAGCCAAAAGGCTCCAGTGACTTCCGCCTGAGTACTCCGTTTGTTCATTGTCATTTAGAGCAAAGAATATAAAACTGGGCCTCTTCTCCTGCAGCAGGGGCTCCAGGAAAATCGCTATTTCACTCTGGTGGCAAAGCTTGATACACTGGGTTACTTCAGGAGACACAAACAGATACAAGTCATTTCCCTTGAAGAAATCAGCGTCCAGATATTCGAAATAAAAGGATATTATGGTGTCGTTCAGCCAATGGGGCCCCTTGAGCAGATCGACATCGGACTTTCGCAGCAGGCTTTCGTTGTAACTTAGCACAGTCACGTTGGAATTCATTGCCATCGATTGGGGCGATTTTCAGCTAACTACTGCAGATTTGCTTCTCATTTTACGCTACTAATAATTTGACAATGTTTGAAAATTGGAAATGTTTGTTGACGTTAAGTTTTTGGTTAGTTCCTCACCATTTGTGATTTATTGCTCAAGCTCAAGTTCCATCCATAGTTGCAATGCTTATGTTTACACTTTTCCTGTTTCTTGCGCAATAATTTTTCTAAAAAACTTGTGTGATTTATTGGGGATTTTATTAACTAATGTTGATGAGTTTGGGGAAGTCTGAAGCGCCTACGAATAATATAAAATCAACTTGTTTGAATGAACTTGAATCATCAGGATAACCATAGAATAACTTCAGTGTGGTGATTGTTTCTTCCCAAACTGGCTGCCACTGGCTGCTAAAAAAATATTTACAACAATGGCTGAAACGTCAAGAAAAGAAAGTTCACTCGCTCAGTGAATGTGAGTTAAAGTGTGAAAAGCCCCAGCACATCATGCTCATGCAAAGTCCACAATGCCTTAAAGGTAGGTGAGCCCCCTAAGCCAATTCCCCACTGGATTACTAATGGTCTAAATATAATCCTGATGGCTTAATTTGTCAGATAAAAGGAAATTGGGCAAACTGTGCATGGGTGATGGGGCAAACAATACGTAACAGGCGGTGTACCCATTCGTTTGTTAATTATTTTGTTGCAAAACTAATTAGTTGAACGAACAGAGGTAGACGATCTGAAAAAACGAACCTGCTGCTCCTGCTGGTTGGCAGTCAGTGTTGCAAGGTGAATTTGGTGATGTGGTGACAAAACTGGGTCTATTTTAGTTTATTACACCTTTGTACTAAGCCCACACTAGTTATTCTAGTCAGAAGTGTCTCTTTAAGCACCCAGTGGGTAGATGTTTTTCCTCCATCAGCATGTTACCAATTAAGTTCAAACGCGAGTTTCACTTATGGTGCTTCGTGGATTGGTTGGTGTTTCATTAAACCACAATGCTCCTTTTGGCCCAAATATCTAATGTAAGCTTCTAGTTACTTGAGTGCTGCAAAATCTGAACGTGTTATCAAAAAATAACTTCAAGTCATTAGTTTAAAGTGTTCCTGTATGAGTGTTTTAACTACAATTTTATGGTGGTGGCTTAGTCTATATTTCAACTGTGTTGCAATTCTGTTACTCGTTTGAATTGCAAGTGCAAAAAGTCAATTTGACTTTGTTCTATGGTTGAATAAAAATCTGTTTATAATAAAAACAACTAATTTTTTCAAATTATTCGGCAACCGAAACAAGACCTGTTAGGTTTATATGAAACATTTATTTGTATATTGACGAAATGTGTCATTTAGTCACATCAGACGCTAATATGCAGTGTGACCTATTTTCAAGCGGGACATTCTCATACACGCATTTATCTTAAATTATTAGTGAATCTCCCGAGTTGACTGCCGTCCACTCTAGTCTTAAGCCCAATTCATATTTCAAGGCGAACCTCGTATACAACTGAAAATATATACATCTTAAATAGACTTGTTTTTTCAGAGCTGTTTGGCTTCAAGCGCTAATCAACACTTAGGGCATGAAATATATCTGTTCTTGTCTCTAACCATTTTTTAAGCAGGTTTTTTATTATTTACACAGTCACTTATTCAGGTGAATCATGCAACAAAGCTTGATTATATGAACATCCCATTTCTTATACACGTTTCCCCTATATATTATGCAATTATTATTCAGCAGCCTTGCGTTTCAGACTCTATAATTGCCTTTCTAAAACAATGTTTTGCGAATTTATGTTGGCAGTTAATTAGGAGTTTATTATAAAGGACTCGTACGGGATTTTCATTATTCCGTGCAGCTAACAATTTTAATTGCTTGGTCGTATTATCATTCCCTTCAAACATGAAAGTTTTGCAAAAAATACTTGATACGCTAGTGAAAATCGTGACTGTTGTCCAAAAATTCCACATAAAAACTATGCACTGAAAATGACCTGATCCGCCTCGTGCGTTCAAGTTACTTAAACAACCGTTTTTAAAACAACTGTATAGTGCAATTAAGCATGTTGTCCAAAACAAGTGTTTATTACAGTTACAATCGGATTTGGAACATTTAAAAAATATTCTTTAATCAGCCGTACTTTGGTTGTGCCTAATTGACTGTGTTGTTGCTTTCAGGCAGTTTTAAGTAAAACTTGACTTAAACTTCCTTGAGCATGGCATCGAATAGTGATGGGGGAGCTGGCAGCAGCAGTAAGTCTTGAGCAAATCATTTAGCATAGGACTTGATTTAATTTATCCGCAGATACCCTGTCAAGAAATTTTGCAACCAGAGACTACGATCCGTATATGCAGCAATTCGAAAAACCGAACAACGAACTGAACACCCCGAGAAGAAGATGTGATCATGTTAGTACAGCTTAGACAAGGTTTGCTTAACTTTTACGCGCACCTTTTTCCTCCAGGATATTGATTATTATCGCGAACAACATCGGGCTGTGATGAATCAACTGGAAGTGTCCAGTCAGGATTCAGCGTCGCTGCGCAACAAATACACGGAACTCGTAACGGAAAATAAGCAATTAAGAGACGAAAATCAGCGACTGTTGAAGGAACTGACTGAACACAATGGCAATGCTTCCGAAGCCTTATTTATGTCCCACACTCAAGCATTGTCGAAGCTGGAAGTTGCGCAAGACGAAAATGCTCGACTCCATAAGCAGTGCGAGGTTTTAGGTGAGATTAACTACCATTAAAAGACTAGACTAAGGGAGAGGTAAACATTATAAAGTGATTTTGTTCAGGTCAAGAACGAGGAGCCGCACAACGAGATGTGCAAAGCCTGAAGCAACAGCTGGTGAAACTTTGCAAAGACTACGCAAAATACAGGGAAGCGCATCAGAAATTACAGCAACAGTATGAAGAATCAGTTAACATGACTATCAAGGCTAACAAGGATATAAAACGCTTGACTGATGAACGAAACGCTACTATGGCTGAATATACCCTTATCATGAGCGAAAGGTATTTTTTTAATAGATATCATTGTTCCATATTGCAAAATCCAATAGATTTGCAAGCAAATAAACGGAGAGGATATTTGCATGTTAATATCCTGAAAAGAAACGTATTTGCGAGGCAATTAGCGGAAAGATAGGAATATTACTTGTTTACCTTAAAGTGAAGTGTTAATTTTTTTCATTTAATTAAGTTGCAATGTCAAAATCATAGATTTTGTTAGTTTGGGTTCAGTCGCAGCTCGAGCGAATTGTTTTATATCATTTAACAGTGAATTCACTAAATTCCCAATTTGGCTAAATGCCCTTTTGCTTCATGCCTTATAGAAAATACACCTTACACCATGCCGCTAAGTAGCTGAACATCTAAAATGATCTATTGCGTTATTAAAGACATTTTTGCAGGGACACCGTGCACAAAGAGATGGAAAAGCTGAGCGACGACTTATCGCAAGCAATGAAAAAACTGAAACTGCTTGACGGCGATAATAAGGAACTGCAAGAGGCGAAACGAGGAATGAATTATCAGCTTGAATCTCTCAAAAGGGAAATTGCCAGTGCGTTACATGAAAGAGACAAGGTATTTCCAAATTGAACTAAAAATATCAAGTGCATCGATAAGGTCAATTTTGCTTTAAAGGCCCTGAAAGAGTGCAATGATTTGCGAGAGAAATTTGGGGAGCTGGGAGCAGCGTCTGAAGATGGCCGCCTTTTACTGGGTGATCAAATGAAGAAGAGTCGAGGGCGTTTGATCGACAGTTTGGGCACTTTGGGCGATGGCGGCGGTAGAAAAGAACACTTACGGGACGACTCGCGTTCTATTAATCAAAGACAACGGCTGGACAACTTGGACCAAGCGAATCAGGAATTGGAATCTCTTAGGAAAAGTCTAGATAAGGCACAGACCGAACTAGCTGAAGCTGTAAGTTGCCGTTGAAGCGATAATCGTCGTTAAATTACACCAACTGTAATTTAGGTACAAGAAGCTGAAGTATCCAAAGGTAGGCGAGACTGGGCGTTCTCGGAACGGGACAAAATTGTCCTGGAAAGAGAAAGCATTCGGACTTTATGCGACAATATGCGTAAAGAACGAGACAGGGCGGTGTCGGAATTGGCTGAATCTCTACGAGAATCTGACGCTATTAAAAAGCAACGAAACGAGCTACTGAAAGAAAACAAGGTGCGTATTTTTGCAACAGTAACGCATTGTTTACACTCGCAATTCCGTTGAAATTTTAGGTTTTGCGCGAAGCTTTGGAAGCTCAAATAGAGCGCGAAGGACGACTATCTCAGACGAACGTTGAGGAGCAACAGCACGCCTGTGGACATACTGAGGTGATTCAATTAGATCTTACCAACTCTGATGAGGAAGCTCTGGAGTTTGCCGGTGCGTTTAAATAAATTGCTTGATTTTTGCATGCTTGTTATTAAGGAAATATTTTTTGAACAGGCGGCCGAGATTTTCCTGGTGACGGTTCCGTCTATGTGGCATCGGTAGCACCTGGATCTTCAGCCATTGGTAAATTCTTCCCACACGACAGGATCGTTCGAGTGAACGATGTGGATTGCAGCCAGGCCTCGTTGAGAATGGTGACCGAGGCAATCCGATCCAGCATGCCCGCCGCTCATGTTCTGGTGCGTCGTACCAGATGTGCCAGAAATGAGATTAGAGCGTCTGGAGAAAAAGTCGCCAAGTGGATTCACACTGCCAGACTTGCACCAGGTAAAGCTCCATGTCAAATCCATGCTGTTTCATACTTAACAGCATTTTGTCAGGTTGTCATGGACTTTCACTGAAAATGGGCGTTTATATAAATCGCATAAGCGATGGCAGCTTGGCGGCAAGAGATAAGAGTCTCACTGTGGGTGATCGCGTTATACGAATCAACGATAAATTGATGGACGACATTGAGGGAGTACGGGAGGCCATGCAAGTGCTTAATGATGAGAGCACTGATGTGATTAACATCACCACTTTGAAAATGAGCTACCCCGAGTGTCCGAATGTTTTCACCCCTGTAAGAAGAAACAAAAAGGAGACCAGAAGCTCGCAGGTATGCAAAATGTCTTTGTTCGAGTTATTGGTGGTAAAACTCCGTTAATTCCAGACCGAAGATTGGTTGCGTCAGAATGAGTACAAATACGGCAATCAGGAGAGAAACAGCAGCGCCTGGTTGAAGGAGAAGCTGGAATTGGTGAGAGGCCCTTGGCGGCATTCGAAAGAAGATAAAAAGAAGCACCGAAACAGCTCACCTAATCCTATAGATTTTGGGCATGAGCAGGTAAGTTTGGAATTCGTTTTTCGATCGAATTCAGTGAGTATGTGAATTTCCAGGCTATAGCAGAACTGGATTCGGTTTTGGATAGTTACCATCACAGCAACACGATTAAGCGAACATCGGCCGTGGCAAAACGTCATTTGTCCCAGCCAAAAGAAGAGAAAAACAACGGGGGCACTTGGCCAAAAGCTAGAGCAACAGCTGTATTAACTTCAGGTGATAGAAGTTGATTCTACTACCAGCTGGTTTATTTATGAATGTTTTTCATCTTTAGGTGGAGGTACTGTAGTTACCAGAACCAAAGAACGTCCTCCCTTAAGTATTCTAGCTCAACCCAAAGAGTCGCAAGATTATTATCGAAATTCCACTCCAGTTCCACTAATGCCACAAAATCCGCACTCCGGCAATCGACATTCGGTGTGCAAAAGCGTTGATGCGAGCCACCACTTTACAATGCCAGCCGATTCCTTTGAAATAGTCAACAGGGTTGGTACGTCTAACAGACACAGCGTTAATATGAATTCGGATAACAGCCTCGATATGCCAGTTCAACGATTGTACGATAAGGACTTGTTACCGTATTATAAAAAGAATACCCGATCAGGTAAGGAGTTATTTTCAGGGAAAATGACGTGGCAATTTCGTTGAATCTCATGTTGCAGTGAGCAAATACGGCTCAGACTCAGAACGGGATATAAGTTTGGGAACGTCTCACGATGGCGGGCCGTCTCACTCGCGCGGCCCCAGCCAGCTGTTTGTTCCTCCAAGGATGCACTATCCATATCATCCCCATCCTCATCCCCACAATCACTCGAGGGAGAGTTTCAACTTTGAACATTATCAACACAACCACAGCCCGTCTGTTGATGCTGGAACCAGAAGACGGCCTGACCTACTTGAGACTGGTGGGACATACCCAAGGAACCCTAGAAACAGGTACAGTCAACTTACTTGTATCAGTGGACATTTTTTCAATGTAGCATTATTTGTAGGGAGCAGCGATTTCGTGTCCCCTCCAATCCTAGTGTAACGTCCAAAGTGAGTACCGGCAGCATAGAGCGTGGTAGCTCGGAAAGAGGCAGTCCCATGCCGATTTTTCACGTAGAAGTGTTGAGTAGCCCTGGGGATCATTCATCTCAACCCAACACTCCAAAGGACTACTGTCCTTGGGGCCATAAACCATTGCCAGGCGAACTGCGGAGAGTTCATATAGGTTTGTTATTGCCTTTAAATCCACCTCTATTTTTATTGATTAAAGTGCTTTTTCAGAAAAGTCTAATGAGCCTCTTGGAATTCAAATAGCGGACACTGGTGGAATTTTTGTTTCAACTGTTACTGAAGGCAGCTTGGCCAGTCGCGTCGGTTTGCAAATTGGCGATCAGCTACTGGAAGTTTGCGGCATCAACATGCGCAACGCTACCTACAATTTAGCAGCAAGTGTTTTGATGCAATGTGGAGATTCGATCACATTGCTTGTACAGTACAGTCCCGAAAAGTTTCGAGAGGTAACAATTCCGTGGCTGTGGCTAACGAAAGGTATTCATTAAGTCGCACCTCTAGATGACTGAAGGAGCAGAATCTCTCTCTGGCACATCATCTAACGAAGATGATGAGGACGACGAAGACGAAGATGCTGAAGGAGATCCCACTCCATGCAATTCTCCGAAGGAAGTGAGAAAAACCCCTCTGAAAAATAAGCCTTCGCCTCTGATACTAATGCAACGGCAAAGCGGCGTACCAGGAGTAAGCAGGTTTGTGATTTTTGCAAGCAGCGCAACAATGTTTTATGTTTTACGCGCATTTGTCTATTAGAGGGTCAATGGAAGAGCCCAGATACTTGTGCATCGAAACGCTAAAAACATCAAATTTGGGGATATCTCTAGTCGGAGGCAATGCTGCTGGCATTTTCATCCACTCGGTTCAATCGGATTCATTAGCCTATCATGCAGGTTTGCGGACGGGAGATCAAATACTGGAATATAACGGAACTGACTTGCGATCTGCCACAGCAGAAGAAGCCGCCTATGAGCTGGCTAAACCTGCTGATAAAGTGAAGGTTTTGGCCCATTATCGAATTGATAGTAAGTCCAGTTTCCTCATCACAATGACCGGTTTTTTAAAACAATATTTCTTTCAGAATACAAGGAGATTAAGGACAATCCGGGCGACAGTCTGTACGTGCGCTGTGGATTCGATAGAAGTGGAAATGACCTTACTGACCCTCCACAACTGGCATTTAGCAAAGACGACGTTCTTTACGTGGACAACACCATGTTTAATGGTGTCCCTGGACAATGGCGCGCCTGGAGATTAGATGGAGAAGGGCATAGACAACAATGTGGCGTGATTCCTAGCAAGTATAAAGTATGCATTATATTTGAAATTTGTTACCAATTTGTGGGCTAATTTATGAGGCTCTTGCTCATTTTCAGGTAGAAGAAGAAATGCTGCTGCGTCGTGGAGGAGGAGACGCCCTTGAAGGCCGCACGGCAGCCACAGCAAGGCGTAGTTTTTTTAGGCGAAAAAAACATCAACGAGATGGAAGCGGATCTTCTGGTTTAGGTTCCACTGGTTCACGAGACTCGAAGGAATTGGCGAGCTTTTGCAATTTGTCCTCAGGATGGTACTCTGATAGTGGTAGGTTTTTTAAATATATAAAATTGATGCATTATTTAAATTTTTTGTTTAAACTAAATATTGTTTCAGGATCTCTTCATGAAGACTTGTCGCAAGTATCATATCAGCGAGTAGAAAGACTTCAATATCCCGAGTTTCGTCCAGTGTTAGTTTTGGGGCCTTTGGCGGAATGCGTTGCCGATAAGTTGGTTACCGATTTTCCAGAAAAATTTCAAAGGGCTGTAACTGATACTAGACGCTGCAATCAAGCACAACTCGATAGGTAAAACTAACAGCAAATGCATGAAGCGACAGTTCAATAAAAAATATTTAATTTGTCTAGGGAATTGGAGGATGGTCTCATCATAGAATACCGACGTCGAGGATCGTGCTTCGAATGCATAACCGTCCAAGCTGTAAAGGCTGTGGCTAATGCCCGATTGCACTGCATGTTGGACTCTTCTATTGCAAGTGTGCAACGATTGAGGCGATTGCAAATCAACCCTGTGGTATTACTGATTAAATTCAAGAGTACGAAACAGATCAAGGAAGTTAAGGATGCTCGGTACGTAAAAAACCGGCTGTGAAATCAGTTAGACTAAATTATTGATTAATATTGCAGATACAGCCTGGACAAATTATCGGGCAAAGCTGCTAAAGAGATGTTTGAGCATGGTCACAAACTAGAAGCAGAATATCGGCATTTAGTTACGGCCGTAGTCTCGGCTGGTGCTAACGTTGCACATGTATGTGCACAAGTTAAAGCTGCCGTGGAAGTGGAACATAGAAAAAGCCAATGGGTCTCTGTCGGTTCCAGTCACTAAGTACTTCAGATTTATCAAATTCCCGTTAGTTTGAAAGAAATTATTTCTTAGAGTAACATTTTGACCGGAACACTGAATACAAAGTTTATGTGGGTGTCTACTAACGCACATTTTTCTACTTCATCTACTACCAAATTCGCTGTGAAAATAATGAGACATGACTATGCGGTGTAAACCCTTGGAATAGATTTCTTTCCAAAAGAGGTATATAATGTAGAACGTTATTCTTAACGCACGCGAACGGAAAAACGTGAAGCTATTTTTCTCGATTTTAGACAATAATACAGTTTAAGAGATAACATATATTTTGAGAGCGTCAATTTAAGATCTGATATAATGGAAACTGTCTCAATTTTTTACGAATTTTATAAAAGCCTTTTAAATATATCCAGATATCTTACTCACTTAATATATGTGTGCATTCTAGAAGGAATGTGCTATTATTACTTTAGGCAATTTCTTATGAGATGTGGTTAGGATATTTACAAACTGCTTTGCTATCTGCAAACACTCGTTTTGTTGCCTTATTGGCATTTTTTTAGATCTCAATGCTATTTAGTCGTGTTTAAAAAGTAGTTTGTTGATTAACCAATACATCGAGTTCTTGAGCAATACACTTAAGTTATATTTAAATGATCTGACTTCTATTTGGAAATACTATGATAATGTATTTGTGCTAATTTATATCCTTAAATCTCTGAGCTTTCTCAAAAACATGTTGCAAAATTGGTAAGATTTTTTTTTGAATCTCAACCTTACCTAAATAATTCCATAATGTGATTTGTTACAACACGTTTTGGTATTTCCTCTCATTGCTGAAACGAGAATCTCCAAAGTTACAGGAAACTCTAACCCAATATTGTTTGTATTTAGCTTTAATGCGTTTAGTTCTTTTATTGCCTAAACGCAGCAAGTATTTTCCCAGAAAGTTATCGTGTTAATTTACAATAAGATTAATCATATAAAATGAGGTGGTTGTATATTCTTTTCTTCTGTGATTATAATTAATATTTTTCTTGTGGTTTCTTATACATAAGTGAAATATAATATGTATTTATATACGGATTTGTTTCTTTTTTTGTGGCATACAGTATTGATTGATTGGGATTGTGGGAGGATAATGAGAAACAACGGCATCAGTTCACAATGGACAAATAAAACCTGTAAAATGCAACCATTTAATTTCTGATAGGTACCTTAAAAATATCCGAAAACAGATAATACAGACTTCAACAATGATGTTGAAATTGTAATAATAAACAACAATGAATTTGTCACGAATTACATACATATAGGCTTTCTATGCAATTTGTGTAAATATTTGTAAACTTAAGTAGATCAAAAATACGTTCTGATGTAGATAATACAAAAATAGATCGCCATGTATATTATAAATGCAATATACTGTCAACTTAAAAACAGCATGTTAACCAATCAGATACTACATCCATGGCCCTGTCTGATAATATTTTACAATAATTATTCACTAAACGGCCTTTAACAAACGGACAATTTATCCGTTTCTAACTGCTCACTTGATACTTGTAAAAATTGTACAAAAATAAATATAGGAAATCACCAACATTATGCATAAAAAATATTCGAAATACTTCGAATGTTAAGTTCGAGATTTGCAGTTTTAGTATAACAGGGCCCTTAAACAATTGGCGCAATTTTTCCCAGGTTTTCAGTTAAAGTAAAACTTAACTGGGAATATGTTGAAATGCCACAAAAAGCGCTATGTTGATGCAATTGTCATTGGCACACAATATAAATTGTTTTGGATTAAAAAATATTCTCTACTTGGTAAAGGCATAAGTATATGATTGATTGACTGAAATCTTTGGATCATTCTCAATGCTTTGTCAGCGGACAAGCAAAAGGGTTCAGTTGTGCGCTTAACTCTTGTGAATGATTACAAATATAATTTTTATCGTTAAATCATACCATACATTAATCATCATTCAGGCTATCCCACCTGGCGGCACCCAGCCTCCAAAGGCTTTCTCCAGCTCTCTAGCCACAGCCAAACACAACCGATCGTTACATTCACGCGAAATCACCTGCACCCCAATTGGTAAACCATGACGATCTAGTCCCATTGGTATATGCGTAGCTGGGAATTTCAGCACGTTGATTATACCTGAAAAAATAATAACTTCTTTGAAAAACCATTCTCACACTTTTTCACATGTGTATTACCTGTATATGAAAAATTGAATGGTCTGACTAGAGGTTGGTGATGGTAAGGGGCTGAAGTAGGATGAGTGGGGTATAAAAACACCCCGTCATCCCCTAGCAGATCCAACACCTCCAATCTGAGCGCATCTCTTTCTTTGACAAGGTACTGATATTTTTCGTCCCCGTAGCTAAAGGTTTTAGATGTGTTCATTTAACTAAACTGGGCATTGAGATCGACGAATGCCTACCTACAACCTCCTTTCTCAACAAGGCAAGTAGCCAATGCAATGAACGAATGGTTTGATTTCCCAAACATCCATTTGAACAGCTCCCACCAGGGGTTGATTCTGCCCTTAAGATTGGCTAGTTGATCCCCAAATGTGGGTCCCGATGGCGCCTTCATGTTCGCAAACCACATTGGCCCGCTTTTGATAAATCGTTTTAACGATACCTAGAATTTTGTTATTTTCCTATTATTTTGATTCAAGGAAAACGGGTAAATTAGGCTTGACTAATTTGTCCGTTTAAGGTAGAAAATAATAGCCGAATTCTGACCTTGGTGGCTCTAATGGCGTGCGCTCTCTCAAAGTGACTAGAAATTTTTCCAAACAACTCTCTGATATCGGGCGAAACCGTCGACACCAACTTTGAACCTCCGTCGGTTTCCTGATAGAAAATTTTTATATTTTTTATTTGTACTGGCTCGTCTAAGCGTAGTTTTGGCGAATTGCCGCTGATTACCTGAAATGGACAACGGGTTAATTTTATTATCAAAAAAATCCACAGGAAAAACTTGAAAAGCGGGAGTGTAGGGTGAAAACGTTTAAATCAGGCAGGAGATAAATTTTCCTGATGAGGCAAAATCCAACTTATCGATTAGCTGATTATCTGATGATAAAACCAACTCTTTTACTCGGGAAATTGCAATAAAACTCACTTTGAGTAATGGTAGAAGATCCTCCGCCCTTCGACACATCGGGCCGATTCTCAAAAATTTGGTCTGTTCTTCTGAGATTGGAGCTGGATACTGCCCGGTCAACGGAACAGTTAAGGGGGTCGGCATGTGACCGAAAATACCTGAAAAATACACGTTTTAGCCAATCTAAACGAAATAAACTGTTTTCTTGCCACAATCACCGTACCATTGAAAAAAGCTGGCATACGAATTGAGCCTCCAATATCGGATCCGATGCCAAACGCGCTGGCTGCAGCTGCTTGAGCACACCCTTCTCCACCCGATGAGCCGCCCACTATTCGGGTGGTATCGTAAGGGTTGTTCGTCCTACCATGAATGTTGTTGGCACTTTCCCACCACATGCACAGCTCAGACACATTGGTCAGACCAATGGGGATTGCGCCCGCTTTTCTCAGAAGCGAAATTGCCGCAGCGTCTGCTTCAGCTCGGTTGTGCCTGCGGCTAAACAGCCCTGAAGAATGGATTAGACCTGAAAATTCGAATTATTGCCCATTAGTTTTGATATAAATGATCAGCAAAAAATGTGGAAATCTGCTAACTTTGTTTGGGATCTTCATTTTTAACTAGTTAATTGGGTTCATTAAACAATAAAACTACCAGTGATTAATTAGCAGCAATTAAAGTTTTATATATGAAAGTATTGTCTGCTTGTAACGTGCCTAGTCCATTGGAACATTTCTATGGCTTATGTTTAGGTAACAATTTTCCTTCGGGTCACCGACTGGTTTTAAGGCCAGATTCAGGCAAAATCACAATGCATTTTGCATGCTTTTGAATGACTATTTCCATTAATTAGAGCATTATCAAGCTAAGTCTTTGCACAACAGCTCTGAATCAAATCTGTGATAGTATTGACTGTAAATCTTAACAACCGTAGGTAGAAGCCTAATAAATCTTAATGAATGTGGCAGTACACATATTTAGATAACGCAAACAGATTACGAYAAGATTCATGATTATACGGGGCGATTTTTCATTTAGGTGGCATTATTTCAATATCTGGGCCTTCTGACTATCYTTCAAAAGTTATTTGATATATAAAACTACACTTTTGWAWAGATTTTCCGATACTTTGGCGACCTTATGAGATTTGAAAAAAAGKCATTTGATGATGAAGAACGCGAGTCCTGAAAATGCAATTTTCACCTAAACCGCCCTACAAATTTGGGTTTGTAKACAGTAAAGACAGAGTCATTSAAATWAAAATATCAAGTTCTGCCTAGAAAAACAAGGCCTGAGCCTAATAAAGWTGCAGTACCAGAATTTTTATAGAATTCCAAACAAAAAAATACTTGAAACTAATGGGTTTTTCGGGTTTTTAGGCCTTCGTTCGGTAGAATTTTTTCTTGACGTTTCGCGAGCACGAKTGGCTTGCATCTTCAGAAGTGGTTTGCTTGCGAAAGTCTATCTCTTTTGATAAAAAAATAATTGTGAATAAGTAAGTGTAAATACCAAGAATGACTGTAAACTTGAAAAAATAAAATATGCTAATAATAGTCCCTGTTAGGACGCGATTTATTTGAAAAAATCGTTGTGCAATTTTTTAACTAAATAAATATGCTAGGCTATTTTCAGCTACGCTTGAATAGAACGTTTGATTTTATGACTGCCTAGAAAAGAACAAAATGCACGCAAAACTGGGTCCAAGCACAGTTAGAAAAGCAATTGCGAGTAGCTTTAACTAGATAAACCGGTAGACGTCCATGTATATTTTTTATATTACTGCACGAAATTATGAAAATTATACATTATGCATATGTATGCACTTAAGCAGATAAAAATATATTAAGCTTTGTAATGGTCGCGTTTAACGTACCAGCCGACCAACAACATAATTGCACTTATCATTGAATAGAACAATTGTGTGACTCAAATCGAGGTCTTATATGTGGACAAGTAGCGCTTATTGAACCACTCACAGTCAGGGTCGCCAGTATAAATCTAAATAAAATTATATTACACAACAAAAGAAATGAAATAATCAAATGAACGTGGTCACATATTTTTAAGAGGAAAATTTGGTCATAACGCAGATTATAATAAATTTCTTTTACAGTAACCCGGCCCAACAATGTGAATTGTATGTGTATTAATAAACATTATTAAATACTGGGACGATCCCTGTGACATCAGCTTGTCGGATTTATTTTTAGTGATTTCATTACTTTACTTATTTAAAGCCGGCTAGAAACATTCCACGATTTTTCTATAAATTTAACTAAAAAAATAGAACGTAATTATACTCGCCTTTTACCGGTATGCAGTCTTTGGTAGTGAAAGGCACGCCTAGAAAGGGTTTTTCGTTGGCTAAGGTTTCCTGAGGAATTCTTTGCGCTTGAATGAGCTGATCCGCTTCTTGTGCTTCTTTTCTCGCTTCATCGAAGCGGTCCGCTACCACACAATTTAACACTGGATTCACTTGTTTGATTCGTTCGATGAAAGAATCCAGTACTTGTTCACTGGTAATCTGAAACAWTGTATATGAAATATCAACGCTTTTGTGGGCATTTTTGGACTACAAATTGAAAGGAAAAACTGAAYGTTTGTTCTAAGTTGCCGATGGGTATTCGGACGCACTAAACGTGAGTTGTTTGCAGTTGAGGTATAAAATTCCTTCAAGTAAAGTCCGCTAGTGGACATTTTCCGATAATTTCCTAAGCATTGTTTTTGGAATATTGGTCTAAAACGAAACGAGGTTTGAATATTCTCTATTGACTGGTTTTTCTGAATAGTAGGTCTACCTATATAAACCACTGGGTGTTCATGTTGGTAGCAAAATTAAGCTGCATGAGGGATAATGTGGCAAATGCGCTCAGCATTAACTGATACAGCGTGTCCACATAAAAAGTCAATAAAGTGCCCCATTTGAGGTAAAAAGGGGGTAAAAAGGCGCATTCTATTCATCCATTTAACTAGATACGTGTCTAGTTATTAAAGAGGAAACCGAACAAAAACGCTCTAAGAGAAAACTCTTATTCCCACTAGGACCTATACATAACTTTCACTGCAGGCTTTGACACGCTTAATCCTTCACGCCTGCAGGATTTCTAAATATAATGTAAATTAAACAATCAATTGAAGCAGCACCGTGTAATTTGATGCTAAACTTACTTTTTGAGTGCGGATCTTCAAGGCAATTGTACTGGCTGACTCCAAAAGCAGCAGATCCTCAATAGGGGGCATTGACTGCTTGGCGCCGCCTCCATACACCAGCCCAAACAGCACTTGGAACACGTACTCAACAAAGGCAAAAATCACCTTTGAGATTCGACGCCCATAGTCGTTCCAGCTATTCTCATTTCCCATTTCCGCAGCTCTTCTAGTCAACAATCTACGTTGGCGGCCAGCCACATGGGACTTTGAGTGGATTTGCGACAATTTGCTGACGACACTCACTCGAAATCTACGAACGAACTGAAACTTGCTGTTTTTCTCATATTGTTTGTTGAAATCCCCACAGCCCCCACCAGGCATTGGAGATGGTGACCAGTTTGTCTAGCTGCCATTGGCCATGACCGTGATGATGTCACCGGGTGATTTAATTGCGTTAATTACAGCGAATCCGAATGTATTTTGTACATTTTCACTAGAACTTTCCTGTTTTCCCTTATTGAGTGGACAGTTTTCAAATCATCACTAGGTTTACCACAACCACTACAGCTGTTTGTTGACATTGACCCATATTGTCAGATTACAATCTATTTGTATTGTTGCCACTGTGCCCAGAGTTTCCTAGAACTCCGTTTCAACCGCCTTGGTTGCGTGCTTTTTCCAATCAACATTCCATCTTATTATCATGGGCTTTATTCCATATGAAATTATGCTTCTTCAAACACTTCGTCTGCGAAAACCAGAATCCAAGCTTCACTATAACGAAATAACCCAAAATGTTTTTAGACTGTGGGGCTTTAATAGTCAACGACCTGACAACGTCGCATCATATGATCTTGATTGATTGGAGATCTGTGAGTTTCCTTCTGCCATCGGTTTATCAGCTTTTGGTGTTTATAAACATTCGATTCGCGCTAATCGGGTTCCAGTTCCTCGAGCAGTTTCACTGTGAGTGTTTCAAAGGAAAAATTGAGGATTTTTCACGAAATTCAACTGTTTAGGTTAGAACAGTGCGCTGACATTCAATACCGCAAACCGGCAGGATTTATTGATATTTTTCGAAATGAGCGGAAGCCCCAAAGTGGACGCAAAAGGGGAGAAAGTGAAGCCAGTGATGCGGCTAAGTGCGTTAGTGGGACCAGGGAACCCGAAAACTCAAATGCCCGCTTTGGTTCCCCCAGTTTTGCGGGAAGTTGGAAAGTTAGCGGCTGGCGTCGCTTCTGTAAGCACTTCTTCGGGCTCCGCAACAGGTAAGAATAATTGATAACAATTTATAAAGTTGAAGTCCTTAGCATCAACCAGGAAGCTCTGGATCGGAATGACAGGCTCCTAATTGCACTGCATAATCCTAAAGCCTCCTTTGGTTATTCCCGGTGGTGATTGGAAACTATCAAGATCAGCCGATAGTCCGTTTTGCACTCTTCCACTTTGCTCTTTGCAGTTTTTCTGAGCGACTGCCGCTTTTGAACATATGAGCAAAAGAAGACTGTCCGCTCTTGAAACGTCAAAAGCCCGCTGAGAAAAAATTGTTTGCCTCCCAACTTACCTATTTCGAGCATTAACAGAAAATAAAATATACCCGTCAATAGCTTTTTGAATAGTCTTCCACTTTGCTATAGCAACTTTTCCTGTCCGGTTCCCACTAATAAAGATATGGACAAAAGACGGCTGACCTCTCGAAGAAAAATCGCTCCTAACTATTTCCACTGTTGAAACCCAAAAATACTGCTCGGAACCAATTTTAACACTCTACCTTTGGTCATTTTTTCCGCATGCTACCGCTGCTACATTTCCAGGGACATCCAACGGACCCTTTGACAGAGTTTCACTTAACACTTCCAAAAAAACCGGAAAATCTTGTGTACACTTTTATCAACACGCATCAACAATTTAAAATATCACTAAGAAATTAATTTATCTTCTTTAAGCTAGTGACTTTTCCAGATTTCTGCCGAAAAACCCTTCGTATCGCAACATTGAAAACATACGCAATCAGAACCAAAGCGAGCACTGCACATCCTAACACATCCACCATAAAGTACTGATACCAAGGCATTCGAAGGCCAGCCACCCTTAAATGCGGCGCCCCCCGATGTTTAATAACATATTCAACCCAAAAAACCGCTGCTTCCATGGGTTTCATTGGTCGGTCATGGTAAATTGTCGACTTTTCTTTTGCCGTCTTCATGTACACCGGATTGTTCAAAAGCTCCTTCAGCATATAGTCCAAAGTTTCTTCATTGAAGTTGGGATCGTGATAGTCCAGTTGAAGGGCGTATCCATTCATTACGGCCTTGGCAGCATTTGTGGGCTGATCGCCGAAAACTGGAATTGCCAGCAATGGTATTCCATAGTGGATGGCTTCAGTTGTGCTGAGCAAACCGCCATGTGTTATGAAGAGTTTCGTATTAGGGTGAGCTAGAAAAAAGGATTGTTATCTGCAGAGTTTAAGGATTTGGGACCCAAACTAACCCAAAATATCTGTCTGGGGGCACCATTTCCTAATCAGAACATTCTGTGGTTTGTTGGGGAGATTTTCGTCCTCAAATTTCCAAATCACCTTTTGCTTTAGTTTCTTGAACACGTTGAGGAAGGCCTGTTTCTTTTCCAAAGGAATATTTTTGCTTCTCAAATTCGAACCCATGCTAAAGTATATCACCCCCTCAGTGGCTTTGTCCATAAACTCTTGCAAATCGGGGGGTAGTTTTTTAGGGGGATCAATAAAGAACCCTCCGATTTCCACCATATTTGGCACCAAAGGTACGGGCGACCATATGCTGGTGTGCGAACTGAGTAGAACTAGCGAAACGTTTGAATATAAATCATCGAGTGGGGGAGCATCTGGATAAATCGCGTGCATCATCCTCTCTTGTTGGGGAAAAATGTAATATTTAAATATCAAATACTCCACAATGAAACAATACAAATTGTTGGCCCTATTGAAGAATGAAAGGTCATTGGAAAAGTCTTGTTGATTCATCTGCGGTACATAGGAGGGCGGTTGGGGGTTGCCAACGGTCGGATTCACCCACGAGTTCGGCCCGAATGGGCTTAGCAGAATTACTGGGCAGTTAAAGATGTATCCATATACTTTCATATTATCATTGAACATCTGTTCTAGTATAAGAGCGTCAAATGTTTCGTTGGATTCGACCAGCTTTTTTAAATTTGCATTATGCAATGTGTGATTGGTTGTTGGCAGCATCAATGCGGTAAAATGAAAATATCGATCGATCAGTGATTTTTCTCTCAGTTCGAAATAGTTCAGCGATTTCAGCTTGTCTAAAAGTACAATAATTGCTTCAGTATTCAATCAAATGGAGGTTTAGACATTTATAAATACTAACTTACCCTCGTATTCTGCGGCAAACCCTTCCAAAACCACATCTCGATATTTGCCATTTTTCGGCAGCTCTTTAAGGCGATAAGGGCTGACCACTGTGACATCATGGCCAGCTTCGGCCAATCCTTTCATGAGCTTTGAGTATAAAGTATGGTGACTTACCGCGGCCATTGGAAAAATTCCTAAAATCCGCGCGCCATCCGTAAAAGATAAGACTATTATCACGATCATCGAGTGAACAATCAACATGCTTAATGCTCTTCAATCCTCAACAGACAAATGAACGACGCGTACTCACACCACACTCGGGAATTTAGTGTTCAATAAAACATTCTGAACGCATATCGCAGATGTGGTTTCGGATATACAGTCAGTTGTTTCGCTTTTTCATTACCAATTAGCGTTGAAAGCAAGATTACTGTAAGGTCAACGTCTTTTAATCAAGTTTGTTCCCAAAATCTTCTATCTCGAAGCAAAATCACGTTGCTTTACCTACCAATGGTTGGTATAACATTTATCTTTTTCATTGTCATTGTAAGTAGCCAGAGTTATTAAAAGATTATTAATTATACAGAATGAAAACTCTTTTGATATAGCATCAAATGTAACAAAGTAAATTGACATAAAGTATTTAATTAAATAAATATGAAGTTCCCCATAATTTAGATAGATATCGTCATTTATTCGATCCTTATTCAGTTATCAGCTGAAGCTAGAATGTTCGCTTAACAATCGCCTGCTTATGATTGATTAAATGAAAAGTACCAACTCGCTCAAGTCGACTATCATTTTGACCCAAAAACCATTAAGAAACTTTGGTGCAACGCACTCAGGCCATGAAAAAAACTTGCGTAGACGTAGACGAACTGGGTATCTGTACTTATTCTCAAGTACTTTATCCATCTTGACTGTCTCCATTTGTTTAAGCTTCACTTCAATGAAATAATCAGGATTGGATCCTCTTAAAATGATGTAATTTTTTATGTGACTGTCTAAAAGCGATAGAATTTCGGTTGTATAGATTTGGTGCAGAGAAAATGTATTTATTTCAAGTTCAACGTGTAGCTTTTCTGGAGATGCAATTTTTACTTAAAGCATTTGTGAGTTGTATTTAAATACAACTGTTTTGCTCGAAAACGCTCGAAAAACCCACCAGTTTCCAACTTTCCAAACAACAAAAAGCCAAACTCCATCAATTTTTCAGTCAGTTATGTACCCACTGTCCAAGTTTTAATAATGGGCTTTTACCGGACAATTCGTGCTCAGCTGCTTTGAGTTTGAGATCGATTACATCGTGTTCCTCTTGTTCCAAAGCTTAACTTTGTTATGGCAATTTAATAAAGGCACTTTCCTCTGCTTACAGGAATTTTCCAATTTTATTAGCGTTCCGCTCAACTGGCTGTTCGTAATTTTTCATATGATAGACCCAGTTTTCCTCAGAAGAATTTTTTATTGAAAAGTTCGCGAAAAAACAAGTAGAACATCGTTCAAACGGTCATAGTAGAGATAAAATCAATTTCCGTTACGAGATTGAGTCGTTGATGAACACCGTTTTCTTGCCTTTTTAAACCTTTTACAAAATTGGAGGAAAAAGATAACAGAAATCACATAAACACATTTTTGTTTAACTTTTCTGAACGTTTTCTTTGGAGCAAAACATCGATTTTGCTCGGGTTTTAATCAAATTTTCAATGCATAATAATTATAATAAATAAGTTTGCTGATTACATTGTTATGTTTTGTGCTCCGAAAGTTTGCATGAACTGAAATACAAAAAGGTTTTTGTATAGTTTGTGTTTTCCTGTTTCTGCCTGCGCAAAAGCTTCAAAAAGTCAACACAGTTTTGATGATATGATGATCAATGCAAATTATTTTGTATAATGAAACGATTACGCATCATGGTCTTTAATATATTTTTTAAGACACTTCAGTCAGGAGAGTTTTAGACTTTATTGTTAATGCAGTTAATGCGGGTAAAGGCGAGTTTTTCAACGTTTTTATGAATGATCAGTTCAAGTTGCCATAAAAATGCGTTTATTTGTTGTTTTAAACTGTCTGCTGCTCAGAAATTAGCATTTAGTTCTGATATATTTAATCAAAATTTAAAAAAATCAAAAAAATACAAAACCCGTCATCTCATTCTTCATTCTTGGTTAACAGTGATTTCTTGGCTTTCTAACGCTTCTCTTGAAGGACTCAAAAAGGCAAGAGAAAATTACTGGTGTTCGATTTAGAAAAAAATCTGATTTATTGGTCTTGGATTGGATAAGTTTGAGAAAATTCATTATTGAGAAATCACAAAAGCTGAAACTGAAATTTTTGAAAAAAATGAGAATTCGCGAGATTACGAATTGAGTATGTTTGTAATTTTATGTAATAATTTAAGTAGTTTATCGATTATTGCGAAAATATGTGTTGGTTGTAGTGAAAACATCAATCAGCTCAAAACCAGTGGTAGATTAATCGCTCATAGACACGAAACTGTTGATGATTAATGTTAAAATTAATCTATTACTATCTACATTTTTATCACTGAGAGCATTTAAAGTTGATGTTTGCTGACTAAAATCATATCTACCCGATTCCTACTATCAGTAAGCAACAAAATGTTTGTTCGAATTTTTAAATTATTGATGAATCCCACGTTTCAAGGAACATTACTTGGGCGCACGGTAACTAGCAATTAAAAGCAACTGTAAGGCAAACAAGGTAATTGACATGTTGATTCGTCCTTTTAATTAACAACAACAAATTCGCTAAATGGGCAACAATTTCGGTGAAGTTCTCACCTAAATCACTTTTGTACTTTATTTTTAAATGTTTATTGTTCTGTCAGATCCACACCAACCCCAACCCCATTTGTGCTGTAATGAAAATACTTTCTACACTTGTAACTCATATCAGCATCGGTGAATATTTGTGAATGGATTGAAAATACAGTATAATTCATATACATGTTAGGATGTTTTATTTAAAATAAATTAATGTACCTACTTACTTAGTTTAAAACTAAAAACTAATGGGGATTGAGATGATACGTGCACGTGCCTGTTGCAGGTGCAAATATTTTAAGCATTTGGACTCCAAGTCGAGTTGAAGTTAATGCGTTTTCTTTTTCGATGCACCTGGTCGCTTCTTTCCTTTGCTGAAACCAGAAATCAGTTTTTTGATCGCCCACTTTGAAACCAATAAAGCGACCACAATGAGTGATATAAAAGATCCAATCACGTCGACCATGAAATATTGATACCACGGCAGCTTCAGGCCCGCGACCCTTAAATGTGGGGCGCCTTTATGTCTTATCACGTATTCAATCCAGTAAACGGCCGTTTCCATTGGTGGTTTCGGCCTGTCGTGGTATAATATGGATCTCGCCTTGGCGTTTTGGGCGTACTTCGGGTTGGACAGCAGTTCGTTGATCAGATAGGACAGCTTTTCTTCTCCAAATTCTGGATCCTGGTAATCCAGTTGAAGGGCGTATCCAGCTTTAACAGCCACGTCTGCATTCACTGGCTGGTCGCCAAAGATTGGAATAGCCAGAATCGGAACGCCGTTGTAGATGGTTTCGGTTGTACTCAGTAAACCGCCATGGGTGATGAATAGTTTCATGTTCGGGTGCGCTGAAATGCATCAGAATTTCAAAAGGCTTGCACAAACTTGCTTCCACCAATCTTCTACCTAAGATGTCCTGTTGGGGGCACCACTTTTTCACTAGAACATTCGGGGGCGTATCAAGAGAATCATCTTCGAACTTCCAAATCACTTTCTGCTTGAGTTTTGCGAACGTTTTCAGCAACACTTGCTTCTTCTCTTCGGGCAAATTGGTTCCTTTCATTATTGACCCCATGCTGAAATACACAACACCTTCCGTAGCGTTGTTCATGTAGTCTTCCAAGTCTTGAGGAAGTTTCTTCGGGGGATCGATAAAAAATCCTCCAACTTCCACCATATTTGGCACAAGTGGAACAGGGGCATTGATGCTGGTGTGCGAATTCAACAGCACCAGAGAAACGTTGTAGTACAAGTCATATATTGAAGGGGCATCTGGGTAAATAGTTTTCAAGATTTGTTCGTGACCTGGCAATTGGAAACACCGGCATAAAACGAAGTCCAATACGTAATAATACGCGTTCATTGCTCTGCTCAGAAGCGATTGGGAAAATCCCTTGGCTGAAAGAGTATGAGGAATATACGAAACCGGTTGCGGGTTACCCACCGTGGGGTTTACCATGGGATTCGGCCCCATGCTGTTCAAGACAATGAGTGGGCAGTTGAAAATATGCCCGTAGACTTTCAGGGCGTCATCCAACACATACTCTACTATAACAGCATCGAAAGTTTCATTGGCTTCTACCAACTTTGTCATCGTCGGATGGTGCAAGGTTCTGTTTGCTTGCATTATAAATAAATCCACGATATTCTTCGCTTGTCTGAACGCACTGATTGGCACCCCGCTCGCATGGTAAAAGTCCCTACTCATCCCTACAAAAGCCCAGCACTTTGTGATAAATCTTATTAAAAACGTGAAACTTACTCTCAAACTGTTCGGCGAAGCCATCCAGCACCAAATCTCGATATTTGCCGCTTCTCGGCGGCTCCTTGAAGCGATATGGACTGACCATTGTAACTTCGTGTCCAGCCTCAGCTAAACCTTTCATCAGTTTGGAGTAAAGATTGTAATGACTGCCGGTTGCTAATGGAAATACTCCCAAAATTTTACTACTTTCCACACGAGAAAACAACGCAAAGAACAGGAGAATTCCCCATTTGAATAGTTCAGTCATGATGACTTGATGTAAATGATCAAGGAAATGTGTGCAGGAGAACACGCGATAAGCTTAAACCGGTTACATCAACGGCGAATAGTTAAAAACAATTTGCGCACGTTATTTAGAAGGTTTTGTAGGAGAGGGGAAATTAGTGCTGATCATGATTGCCGCATAATCGGAGATCATCTGATCTTTTGTCTAATAATCCAGCAGATCTAGATTAAAGTTGTCTTAACTGTGTAGGCTTTCAGGGCTGGACTCACTAGTAAAATATTGCCGTGGTCCTTGAGGTTTAGAACCTGACGTTTCGTCTGCAACTGCAGCAGGCATTATCAAAGGCGATCAAGCGATCCTGGATGTCTCCACTCTGCCTTTTACTGCCGGTTTGAAACGTTTCTTGTGCAACTGCGATTTTCTTCCACTTTTTCGCTGAATTTTCACGAAATTCCCATGAGAAGACCCTACACGACATTGACTTAAAGTGATTTCATGGGACTTAAAAAAATAATTTTGCTAGAAAATTGGTCTATTCTGGTCAATTGGTTCAATCTGGTGTAAAATATAAATCTGCTAATAAATAGTCAATTCTGAAATCAATCGTACGTCCGTTTCAAGTTACCTACTCCTACTTACATCTATCACAATTCGAGACTAATTTTTTTAATAACTTGGCCTTAATTTGCTTTTTTCGCCGATACTTTTGAACAAACCCTGGTGTTCCTTATGCATGAAACGGCTTTCCTGATTATAAACTGTACAATATACAGTGCAAATGACACACTTAGCACAAACAGCCCAATGACGTCAACCATAAAATATTGGTACCATGGCAGGTTTACACCCGCCACCCTTAAATGGGGCGCGCCCCGATGCTTAATTACGTAATTGATCCAGTAGTTCACTGCTTCCATGGGTTTCATTGGTCGGTCATGGTATAATCGGGATCTTGCCTTGGCGTTTTGGGCGTACGTCGCGTTGTTTAGCAATTCGTGGATTAGTTGGGCGATTTTTCTCTCGGAAAAATCGGGATCGCTGTAGTCCAGCTGCAAGGCGTAGCCATTTCTCACTGCTGTAGCTGCGTTGATTGGCTGATCCACAAAAACTGGAATCGCCAGAAGCGGAACCCCATTGTGAACCGCCTCGGTTGTGCTCAACAATCCCGCGTGAGTTATGAAGAGCTTTACATTGGGATGCGCTGGAAAGCCAAGGAGTTGTTTTAAGGAGAAACAAAACTCGTGAGTTTTGGACTCACCTAAAATATCCTGCTGAGGACACCACTTTTTTACCAGAACATTTGGGGGAACCTCAAGCGACTCGTCCTCAAACTTCCAAATAACCTTCTGCTTCAATGTGCGGAACACATTCAGGAACGCTTGCTTCCGCTCTTCCGGAAGTTCTTTTGCTTTTATTATCGACCCCATGCTGAAATAAATGACCCCATCCGATGCACTGTTCATATAGTCTTCTAGATCTTTGGGAAGTTTTTTGGGTGGGTCAATGAAATATCCGCCTACTTCAACCATATTGGGAACAAGCGGCACTGGCAGATTAACGCTACTATGCGAATTTAGCAACACCAGGGAGACATTGCTATACAAATCGTAGATCGACGGGGCATCTGGATAAACCGATCGCATGATTTCGTCGTTTTTCGGCAACGCGTGCAATGTAGAAATGAAATAATCGATTAAATAGTACATCAAGTTCTTCGCCCTATGAGTGAACGAAGTTGAGAATCCTTTGGCCAGGATGGTATGCGCCACGTAGGACGCTGGTTGAGGGTTGCCCACTGTGGGATTGATCATGGGAGTTGGGCCCATGCTGCATAAAACCACCAGCGGGCAGTTAAATCTATGCGCAAATATCTTAAGGCTGTCGTCCCGGAAATACTCCACAATCACCAGGTCAAAGGTTTCGTTCGAGTCGGAGATTCGCCTCACAGCCGGATTGTGAAGGGTGCGATTTGCCAGATCCAGCATAATATCCACGGTCTGTTTCATCATCGAGTAGGGACTGATATCCGGCTGAGCTAACAAGTTTTGTGTGTTTTCTGAAAGAAACCATATAATTTTTTTAATAGTCGTTGGAAATTTGTTTTAAATTGCTCTGCGGATTATAGTGATTAAGCTGCATCGTTAGTGATGGTAAATGGTAGTGAAAACATGCTGGGTGATTGCTTGTTGAAGCCCTGAATTTTTTAACGCAACTGCGACTGTTTGGGATTAAAGCGTTGGGAAAGAAACATCTGTAATTTGCCAAGTTCTGAATGCAAAACGAGAAAAATGTTGCGTTTCAACGTTCAGGTTAAGGATTGAGATGGTTTAGACATATGATGAGGAAGGATCAAATTGGACCCACCAGCACGAAGGAAGAGAGACCCAGAAGATCATGGTTTGAGGGCATGAGAGAAGCACTGGCGCGTAGTTTAGGTCATGAAGACGCCACAGATAGAGACCGATGGAGACTGAGAACGGGACGACGGTGACTCGCATTAATGTAAAATTTCCGAAATAACTTCAAGGCTCAATATGGGTTTCACAATAATTTAACTAACTGTATTTAAATGGAAAAATTCCCGATAAATGTTCCAAAAAACGGCGCAAATTTCAAGCTACGCAAATCGATGGTCAATCGCGTTATCGATTTTGAGCAAAAATGCCGTTCATCTGCAAGTGCACGTTAAAGTAAAATAAATAAATCGCAAATGATGGCCACAACTCGCCAAAGAAGATCCAAACGGGTTTCATTTGAAATCCGTTGCAAATACAGGAAAAATGCAATAGACCAGAAAATTAACAAAAACCGCTAACATTCTTCCTGCCTCGCATTTGCAAAATTCCTTCTGTATCTGGCACATTGTTGATCTTCTGTACTTATGCCTAATTTATATGTATGTGGATGCGATTTAAGCTTAAAAGAGTAAACGAACACTAAATAATCCATAGACTTACTTTCGAAATCAGTTGCAAAACCCTCCAGCATAACATCGCGATATTTGCCATTCTTCGGCAGATCTTTGAGCCGATATGGACTTACCACTGTCACATCATGTCCAGCTTCAGCTAAGCCTTTCATCAGTTTGGAAGTGAGAACAAAGTGGCTCCCTGTGGCTATAGGAAACACTCCAAGAATCCTGCTGGCATTTACACATGATAAAGCCACCAAATGCACCAAAAGGATCGTTTTTAAAAGCTGAATCATTGTCGGTTCATTGATTTTATGTCGGAGATATGTATTTAGCTGGCCCAAGGATGTAGGCACAATTACACGCGCTCGGACGATAGTTGATGTTAATACTCGAAGTGATTGGCGACGAAGAGTTCAGGCAGCCTCATTTTCTCAATGGTTCATTCGTCTAGTGGGGATAACGATTTGTCACATCAAATTGAGAATTTAATACCCTACAACGATTTTTGTTGATTTTTTGTATAAGCTGCTCGTGATCTCGTTGCGTGCATACACGCACTACTATGCTGATTCGTTCAATTAGCAGACATCAAGTATTAACTTTTTCAACTTTGCCCCATAATTCAATGTTTGAGCAATGAGGTTCTGAATGACGGCAAATCAGGAGCGAAAAGTGAAATCAGTACGTATGTTTCGTTAAAATCTATTTAATTCCGAAGTGATCGGCATTGTCTTTATTAGAACGTAGACGCTGAGATAAAACTGTAATGGCTTTATTAATTAATAAGACAGCATGAGTGGTGGAATCCAACCGACGATCAATGAAGGTCAATTATGGTTCGTATCAGGAAATTAATGAGTGATATTTGATAAAAAAAGATATATACTAAACATATGTGCGTTACTGCTGTGATATAACAGTGAATTATTCCTTTGTTTATCTAAA